AATTGTTTATAAATACATAAACGAAAGAACTGAATACAACAAATACTAAATTTCTTACCTTTTTGTAGATACCGCCTTCTTCAAGACTTGAATCGTTCGGAGGTAAGTCTATGATGAAAAAAATTTATTTAATATTAAATTATTTTTTAAAAAAAAAGATCACTAAATTAAATTTCTTACCTTTTTGCAAATAACGGATTCTTCTAGCACTGGATCATTCGAAGGTAAGTTTTATGAAAAAAAAAAAAAAACTTTAATGAAGTAAACTACGTTAAAGCAATTTTTTATTTTTATTTTTAAGATTATATTACATTTATTATGTAAAAAATTATATATCAATATGTCCTGTAATTATAATAAATAAAAATAAATATATAGCATCACATTATAAAAATTTACATTGATATCTAATTCAGCTTTATCCCAAAATAAACTCTATTTTAGGAATTGGAATCAATTCAAAAAAGTAGGATCGTTTTTTTTATGGCAAGCCAATTCAAAAAAAAAAAAAATAGATTTACTTTTTTCTTTTAATATGGTTGGTTATTTTTTTTGTCCTCACCTCTTTCGGGTGCGATCACTTCGGTCACTTCGGTAATGATTATTATTTTTTTTATTATTATCACGTTTTTCGAGTTCGGTCGCAATGATTAAATAAATCTCGATATATTCGACTTTCTTCATTTAATTTTACTTAATTATTTTTGCAAAGGTTTCTACAATTCCGGTTTCGGGTTGCGTTGATTCAATAAGTATTTCAAGCTCGATCGTTTCAGGCGCAGCGATCGAACATTTTATCCAGGTCCTTCTTGAATTGCTTCTGGAAATATTAGTTAGGTAAGGTGATCTTCCTTATTTTCTTTATTATTTTTTCTTTTTATGGATATCGAATAATGCCGTGACAGCGAGGCGATAACGAATTGTTAAATTACACCTCCGGGCCTTCCTAGTTATATATTTAGATTAATTAATTGGCAATCTCCGGATGAACCAAACGGTCAAATGTTCGGTCGGAACCGCGAAGCCTTTGACCGACCGATAGTGGTCACGGACCTATGTATCCCTAACTTTTTTACTCGTTTAAATTTACTAAAATTTTTTAAATTTTGTAGCTTATGCCACGCAGAGTTAGATATTTATAAAAATTAGTACTTGGATTGTTTTATTATTCCGGATCTAGTAAAACATTTGGTATCAACTTTAAAAATTCACGAAATGAAACATTTTGAAACATAAACGGAGTTTTTGCTATGAAAATCTGTTTAACTTAGATATCTCTAAATTACCATTCGTAATATTGGGTTGTTTTACAGACACTTTTTTTTGTTGAATTTGATTAGTCTTACTTTTCGTTGGTTAAAATTGAATTTAGTGAGATTTAACAAATTCGAAATCAATTGACGCTTTGATTTTAAGGGAACAAAGTAATTTTTATAGTTAAATATTATTTTCTTTGAATAAAATCGACTTCATAATTACCAATAGACGCAAAAATCAAATGAAAAATAAAATAAACCTAACAACAACTTTACAAATTTCAATAAAATTATTAATGGAGAAAAATGTGAAGATTTTAACCAAAACAAATTATCAAAATACGCTCGTCATTTATTTGGGGAGAAATAAAGGTTCATAAGCTAATCAAATAACAATTAAAATCTATAGTCCTTATAGCATTTATAACACGACAACACAAGTAAAATGCAAAACAAATTATAAATCGACTTCTCGACTTGTTGTCATTGTCACATTTCTTCATTACACATAATATACCTTTCCATCCCTTTTCTAAATATATATTTCCCAAAATATGGCCACGATTATTAAACAAAGACGTAATTATGCATGTACTGTATGTTATTGAGGGAGTCTAATTTGGAAATACGATTTATTTGCACATTATGATAAAGAACAAGTTTTCACATGTTATGATTATCATTTTAATTTCTTTGTACAAATATAGAAAGCTTTAAAGGATTCGAAATTCCTTTTTAATGGCAAGACAATAATATGGGTGTTTCAAATAATAATAATATCTAATGTTAAGCGCGCGCTAAATCGATAAAATTTATAATCAAAAGCGGAAATTTAATTTAAAATAAATGAAAAGACAGGGTAGGCTCCTTAAACCAATGTAATTAGAAGATCGGAAAATCTTTGAAAGCAAAGTTTTTATTGTTTATGTGACGTATCATCAGATCATGTGACTTATCATCAGATCATGTGACTCACCATATTACAATTTTTTATTAATTCTAGATCCATTCTTTAATCCATACTAATTCTAAAATAAAGCTAACACATGATTAATTGTCTAATTTTCAAAGAGCAGGGTTCTTTTTTATAATAAAACTACCCGTGAGCGAAGTCCTAACCCGCGAAATTCCAAACGATTTTCGATATTATAATTTAACTATCAACTTCGAAACCAGATTATTTTTTGTACTAAAATTTTATATTGGCATATATAATTTATGAATCTAAATTAATTAATTATAATTTTTGCCAGAATTAAGAAAAACACGGTGTTACGCCTGAAAACCAAACCAACAAACAAATAACTCAAAGGCAGTTCCTAAGAAAAATTATGACAAATAAACAGCTTATTACGATTCAATGAAGATAAGAAGAATATTGAAAGTGTAAAAATAGTATCTTTATTAAAACCGTAAATCCCAAGACTTATCCAAAATCTTTTTGGAAACCAAACTTTCTGTCGACTCAAGGTCAAATTACATGTCTTTTTATATAAAGTTCTTGACCAATACTAAACTACGCCTTTCTATGTTAAATAAATAATACAAATATTGATTAGTAATACAAACTAGATGTATATTGAAAAATAGCTACATAATGAAAATAAGATAAGTTACATGATTATTAATCGGTCCAAAGTTGATAAAGTAGAATTTTCATGACAATCGAGACATATGAGGCAGAGTAATATTTCGCAACTGACACCGGGTTGCACTTATAATGAAAAGGAAAATACAAAACACATATAAAAAAATATTTCCAGTTTTAAAAAATTCTACCGGCAATTTATGATTAAACTTTTTTTTCCGAAGTTTTACAAAATGGGTGACGAGAACCGAAAAACTGGTCTTGATCAAAAGTATTTTTCAGTTTATTTGTGTATAGCTATTGCAACTCAAATAATATAATTAAAAGCTCTTCCGCGTCAGATTTATCCCGATAACGAAACTGATATTACAAGGGAAGCAGAGGTATTGGAGTAGGGAGAAAAGGGTAGACGGTAAATGAAAAAGGATTAGTGAAGGTATTTTAAGAAAGCAAGAATACATCACAAGCTTGCTTAATGAATCATTCGGGTTGAATTTACTGGAAATTAGAAGGACAAATTTAATCAGATTTACACTATCACAAAAAAAAAAAAAAAATGAAGCGCGACTTAAATGTAAAGTATTGATCCTTTCTATTTTTTTAAAAAAAATATAATACGATCGATATCAAGAAAAAATAATTTAGAAAAAAAATTTCAATATAATAATGCAAAAAAAAAAAAAAACTATAACTTCGTTAAGTATCGATGAAGAAAACTAGATTTTTCCATGACTCATTTCAATTACTTTGGTATTTCGTCGATAATCTATAATGATAATACTTACAGTAGCTTCGTCAAAAACTAATTTATAGTTCATTAGCTTGACATTCAAGATTTTAATCATTTGATTTTGACAAATACATTTAGACTGCTGTAAATTCCCGTTTAATCCATATTCATATAAGAAATTCGGCAAGATAATTAATTAATGCGTCCGAGTTGAAAAAAGTCTAAGAATTGTGGAGTCACGTCATATTTTTCAAATCCTAAGGATTAGGAATTACTTTATTCTTGGCGTGAAATTATTAAAAGTTTTTGTAATTTGCATAATAAATCTTTATATTACATTTTTTTTTAATTTTTTTTTAATGTTTTCATTGATGCACACAATACGTTTTATTCGTGTAACAATGCAAAGACCAGTTTTAATAAAAAATTCATAAACATCTCCGATTTTTACATACATTTTAAAACTGCGCCATGGATTTTAGTAGATTTACGGAGAACTCATAAGTTATTACCCGTATTTTAAAAATTACATGGTAATTAAATAGTTAATTGAGTGCTAAAAGAACCGGAAGTCACTTTCCAATGAATAATGATATTGAACACATAAACAAATTATAAAAAGTATGCCAGAAATGAAATGAAGCATCCAGAGTATATTAATTCCATTTATAACATTATTAAATATATAAATTTTTTGTTTTCAGATGATCGGATACTTTTCCGAAGGTAGTGTATATTATACCACATTTGCACATGATCAAAATTCTATACCATTTTGTGTCAAAACATTTGTATTCCTTGCATAACTGTCATTAATAGCTTAATCTTTAAAAGAACAAATATAAATATTTTATTTCGAAGTATCTTTTCAAAAATTTATTTATGTGCATATATAAGTTGCGGATCAAAAAAAAAAAAATCCGGATCTGTTTTACTCATTTTCATACGCTTTTCGTTTTTACGCACTAAGAATTTATTCTTAGGTTTGTTTAGTCAAGGTTTTCTCATATATATCTAAATAGTTGCATGATAAATGCATTAAGTTTTTTTAAACTTTAATTTAATTTTTTTCTTGCACGACAATATATAAAAGAATGAATGCAAACATCAATCGATTTTGTGCCACCACATTGAAAATAGATTGTATTTAACTTAATTAATTATATTTCCATTTTAAAGTGTAATTTATTTTAGTATATCAATTCACGTTATACGTGAATTTTAGAACTGCCTCCTAATGTAGAGTTAAGAAGCAAGTTCTAATTAACAATGAAGGAGAATGTCAATTTTACAAAATTATATATCAACCGAATGTAAAAGTCATATCAATCAATGGGGTATATCCAAATATTCAGATCGGTGAACTTATATATATTTTAAATTTACAGTATATACTTAGGTCTATTATCGATAGGCCGACCTCACATCAACGAACGTGCAGTAACGGTAATTTGATTTCCCATCCTGGACTAAAAACAGATAAAATTTTGGTCATTTGTTTCTGATACGTAACTTAAATGGACATAATGTGTTTTGTTTAAAATTACATTATTATAAATGTATATTAGTTTAAAGTAAATTATCATGACGTAAGTCGTGAATAAATAAATTGGTATGAATTTGCACCAGCAATTTCTTATACACTTGATCGTTAGGATCTTCTAAAAAGTTATGATTGAGATAGGTTCCAACTTGAGAAATGCTAGTTGAACCGTTATCAAAATGAGGACACATAGCACCGGAATCCTCAATCGTAAGTAATTTACTTGATAAACTTTGCGCATAGATCATATCCACAACGGCTTTTGTTTGGGTATTATTGTCGCGACCCAAATCTGCCGCAAAAATTTCACCCGTCACATGCAAAGGTGTAACCTGTCCGTTTCCTTGGTCATTTTCAACTACATTCATATGTTTATCTAATTTAATTATAAATGTTTTTTGATTATACAAAGATTTAGCTTCCTTAGCTAGATTATTGTAAAAATTTTTTACGTCTTGTGGTTCCTTATACCAACCGTTTTTTGCAATTATTGATAATTGACTCATTGGAGGTAATTTGATGTTTTTATTAAGATATTCTTTTTGTAATGCCATTCTGTACGCGATAAAAGAGTTTGGGGGTGATTTTATTTTAACGCTTTTAAGTGCGTTTGGTTTTATAATATTTTTGATGAGATCGTTTATCGATAAATCTGGAGGGAATGTCGGTTTGATATCAGTGAGAACTTTATTAGAATCGTTTCCTCTAAAAGTAGCTTCAATATTCGACCCAGCACTGTCTACATCCATATTAAATATATTTTTTTTTTCGTCAATTTTTTAAAAAATATAATTATTTTTATTTTTTTTTTTTTTTTTAAGTAAAAAATTTTTAAGGCATTTAAAAATAAAAAAAATGTTTGCTTATTTAAGGAATGATCGTATCGTGAGAAAATATCCAATTGATCGTCAAAATCAAATGTCCTTAAAATGGTATTCTTTACGGATGGAGGTGGAGACCGTTACACAAAATTTTATACTCATGAGGAGAAAAAAATATGAAAGAATAAATGACCAAATCTAACTCCTTAAATAGATTTGAATCCAAAAATAAACTTTTTTTTTTGTTTTATATGTAGATGATTTTTCATATATAAACATTTAATTGTGCGGAAGACACCACATCGTTGCCTTGGTGATCACATGTAATGATGTCATTACTGATCACCCGTTTCCGGGTATAAAATGAGAAAAATGAGATTCAAGAAATAATGCAAAAGCTTTTACTATGCTGAATATCTTTACGGAGATGAGGCTCCTAAAAAAGCATTGAAAAACAATAACTTGTGTAACGTATGTAGTTCATTTCCTTATATAGATAATAGATACGGTCAACTCCTTGCTGTCATATTTTTGACACAAGCCTCTAACTAAAATAATAATTAAACTTATGTTACATGATTCATAGTATCAATAGTTTATTATCTTATGCTACAAAAAATTTAAGTATTAAATTGGAATTATGTTGCGCAGAACTCTTACCTAGGGTTGGATCGGTCCTAGTAAGACGGTCTTGGACCGGTTAATTGGACCGGTCCTGCGGTCCTCGGTCCGTATACTGAAGCCCGGTCCAGGACCGGTTATTATATTGCAATTTACATATATAGAATGATGATCTGTGATACATAAAATTTTTTATTTATGTAACAATCGCAGATTTTACTTCAACATTAACTTTAATTGTTTAGCGGCGGCAAAATGGAAAATCAAGGTTAAATTTTTTTTTTTTTTTTTTTTAAAAAATAATTCTCGCGCTTTCTTTTTTTCTTACACATTATTTTATTTTATTAAAGATGATAACGCTACAATTATTCAAGATGAAGAAGATTTTCAGGAAGATGATG